CGAGTGCGGCGCCCGCAGGGCCCCGCGCCCAGGTTTTCCCATGCGGGGTGTATTCTCCGAATGTGTTTTCCTTTTGCAAACGCATCTGGAAATGTGGCTGCAGCAAGGGGGTTCCTCGGTACAACCGCAGCCTTACAATAGAACGGGGATATTGTTGTCGGTGGAGAAAGGGCAGCGGGGTAAGGAAGGAGGAGCAGTGCGTTCCCGAGGGAGAGCTAGAATTTTTCACATTGGGAAACCTCCGTTCTTTTCCGTAGTCATCGCCTGTTGATTTCTTTCTGGACCATTTTACAGAAACCTACTGCCTTTTACTTGGACTTGGGATCCAGGAAAGTGACAGCCTTTTCTCCCCTTGGGGGGTTCCTGAAGCTGTGCTAGTCCTGACAGTTGGGCCAGATACAATCTAATAGCTTCCTAGGGGACTTGGTTTCAAGTCCAGTATTTGGGGGAATTTACCAGTAGGGTTCTTAAATCTGTGGATGTCTGGATATGGGACCTGTCAAACTGTCAAGTGACCCCCCCCCCCCCCCCCCCCCCCCCCCCCCTTCTCAGAGTCTTAGGAGCTGACTTAATGCCTTTCTCATTTTATGGTGAAAGGTGAAGCATGGCTTGCAAGTGATGGCACCCCAAATGCTGGCCATCCTATTGGATTCCCACCAAATTCCAATCAAGCATCAGATTCCTCCGTTTGGGTTCGTTATACAGAGTTGGGACACTATTCCCAAGTCAGTCTAATTTATCAGAATGTGTATCAGTGCACTTTAAAGCCTGGGGTTGTCAAGGCTTATGTAACCACTCTGTTAATTTATAATCTTGTTACATTGCTTTCCAGATTTATAAAATCATTCCCTTCAGGAAATCTGTCTTCAACGTCTGCTTAAATATTTCTCTTGGAATTGGGTTCCTGAAGAGGAATGTACTGTACAACTGGTGTTTAAAGCATACTAATTAGACAAGTTCCTTTAAAAAAAAAAAAGCATTGACTCTTTTATCCCACTGTTTAATTTCCCCTAGAAAAACAGACGACATTCCCATTTCACAGAACTAGGAATGAAAGAAGGTACATGACATTCCCAAGGTCATGTGTTGGAAGCGGTGTAGTTACTGAAAATCCGGTGCACGGGGTTAACTTTTCTTAATGCTCCATCTTCCAGGCTTTCCGGGCAGAAACTTGGAGTGCCACCTTTCCCTTTTGCAAACCTATAGTTTCTTTTTTAAGTTTTATTTACAAAAAAATTACTCCCACCCTATTAATTTTTTTTTTTTTACTATTCTGAATACAATTTCTTGCAGTGAGATCCATTCATATACAACATATGAGGACTCAGAAGTTATACTGATTTTCATTTTTCCAGAACTGCAATATGGATGGGCCTTTTATGGTTCAAATATAATCCCATAATCCTAAAACGGAGGCTTTTAAATGTCCTTATTAAAATCGAAGGGCGTTCACATTTTTACTCGGCGCAGGAAATACTATTTGTCTGAAGTTTACTGCGGGTGTTTCACATGAAAGTGAAACTGAATAGAAAATAAGAGGTGTTTATTTTTGTCGATACCCGGCAGCCATGGGTCTACGCTTTGGTATAAATAAGGCATGATTTCTTCGCTGTAGCAGCTTGTCTGAGCCTAGGAGCTCATTGCACTGCTTAGGAAGAAAAGGGTACAAGTGAACTTTCCACACGGTCAGAATTATAGGAATTAAGAACATAGGTAAGGAACTCCTAAAGACTTGATTTAACTGTATGCCAGCTCTGTTTGGCTTAACAACCGAAAGTCAGAGTTTTAGCCAACATGCTTTTCTAGGGCAACTATTATTGAGAATTTAGGTACTTCCCAGCCTGCACATATGTGCAGGTCAAGTCTTAGAGCAATTTAGGTGGAAATGTTGACTGGATTCTGGCAGTTTTGAATGTAAACTTAACCTATGATCATTTATTCATGGAGCCTTTGTGTGTGTCTATTTCTGGGGCACCGGGTTAGAGGGTAGCAATAGCTTACAGGCTGTCGGGGACACCAAGGTGAACAGTAGGGTCTGGTGAATGCCTGGGTGAGGCTTAGGCAGATCCCTCAGAAGCACAGAGATGGGGGACAAGGAATCTGACTTGGGGAGTCTTCACAGAGGGGGTGATGGCTGAACTGCTCTTAGAGGACAGGTGGAGTTCTCAGGTGGAGAAAAGGGGAAAGGGCCCTCAGAGTTCAGGGAGGCTGAGAAGTCAAGGCCAAGTGGTGGAGGGAGGACTTAGATCCAAGTGGGTGAAAGGGAGTTGAGGTAGAAACAGTGCAGCTGTTCTTTTTTTTTAAGAATATGAAAAGGAAGGGGGAGGAGTAGGGCAGTAGCTTTGGGGATGGAGGGGAACGTGCCCTGCTATTTTGCTATAGTTTGGGAGGAGCTGATGTGACATGCCTGGGACTCAGTGAGCACCGAGTGAACGCTGGAGGTGTGCTGTCTGCACCAGTGACCTGAAGCTACCTTATCCACCCTGTGGGCTCCCTCCTCATCAGTTTTTCTGTACATGTGTTTGGGGTAGAGGCCTTCTATGCCATGGGAAACCATTTTCTGCTGGTGGTATGGGAGGAGCGCACCGAAAGATGTCTGCCTTATTGTTCCTGAACGTGTATTTCTCTGCTGTCACTTCCAGAGCCTCCTGAGATTCTGCTTGGGCACCTCCAGCATTTGGCCTCTGCTCAGGTAGGCTCTTCCACGACAAGTCAGGCCTCATTCCCTCTCCTTACTGTGACCTGGTCCTCAAACTGCCCCTCTGAGGCTCCTCAGTAGCTATTTCAAAGTCAGAGGCCATTGTCTGCCCATGCGCTGTGATGGCTTAAGTTCTGGAGTGTCTCCAGCCTCAGGCAAGATTGGGTCTGTTTGTCTCTCTAAAGGCGGACTCCTACAGCCACCCATTGGCCGGAAAGGTGACGCAGGTTATGAAATCCCTGCTCCAGAGCGCAGGTTACAGGACGTGCGCTGGTCCAGTCCTAGCCTCAGTGGGCCTCCGTTCACAGAATTATCTTCCTCAAACCCAAAAGAGGGTCAGTTCCTTGAAGGCAGAGACCTTTGATTCCTACGTCCCCAGACCAGAGTCATGCCTTGGGCGTAGCCAGTGTCCCCGGGAAGAATGCCCACGAAGAAGCTTGAAAAAAATCTAAACTTCGTTTGTGGGTTTTTGTCAGCCTGGTAATAGAAACCATCCCGTTTTAATGCAGCTGGGTTGGATCTAAATTGTTTCACAGTCATAGAACTTGAGGGCTAGAAGCCCGTCTTCTACTCAGTACTAACATGTAGTAGACGCTCAGGAAATGGTGTCTTCCTTCCCGTGTTCCCGGTCGAGTGAATGGCCCCCCTGCTACCACTCTCCACCCAACTCATCCTCGATCCCCTCTGATCTGTCCCTGAGCGTTGAGTTCTTAAACTCTGCTCCCAAAATGTGTCTCCTCCGTTACCTCCTCCTCCTCGCTGCCCAGATGCTGGCGGCCCTCAGCATTAAGTCTTCATTTACCTGGAGACATTTTCAGTGTCTCCTTCCCTGTCTCCCAGCTCTAGTCTGATCTCCACTTTGCTGCCAGAGTGGTTTGTTGAGCTGTTGTCTCTGACCGCTGTGCCCGCTCAGGACTCCTCTTTGGCTTCTCAGTGCCAGCTTTCATTTGTTCACTTCACAAAATGTGATCTGTGGATTTGGGGTCGATGATCTACTCAGCAGGCTCTGGGATACAGAACTGAATAAAACAGGCATGGGCCTCACCTGGACTGAACTTACCGTTTCTTCTAGTGGGGAACACAGATTATTTATCGCATAATCACACAATTACATAACCACGCTGTGATAAGGGCTGCAATGAAAAAGGACGTGGTGCTGCGCGAGCACCGGGGTGTGGGAGAGAGTGGTGGTCAGGAAGGTGACCTTTAAGCACAGGCAGAGCTAGCCAGCCCTGAGGAATATCAACTGATTTGCCAGGCCGGTGGGTATCTGCCCCGTGCCTCCCTGTCTGACCTGCATGTGTTTTTGTCCCAGACACACCCAGCTCTCTCAGGTCTCTGCTGGAAGGCCTCTTTCCCACCAAAACCATGTTCAGTTCTTAGTTCAAACTCAGAAAAAGCAATTTCTCTGAGCTCCTTCCTGTGAACTCCAGATTGGAAACACCTTGGGACCCTCCTTGCATGTCCAGCGGAGGTGTGTGGGGCATTTGGTTGGGCCTGTTAAGAGTGAGGGTACTGATATCAAAACAAGATGGGGAGCTGAGGGTGCAGCCCCTCAGTACTGGACCCTCCTGGGAGGAAGGCCAGTTCTGGAAAGGTGTGCGAAGATGTGTGATTTTGATCACACTCACACCTTGCTCATATGTATTATTCCACGTAGCTTTCATAGTCACTGTCCAGGGTGGCCAGTATCTCTGTTTTATAAAGATGTGCCTGTTTGAGAAGTTGGGTCATGTGTTGGGCTCCAGATCCTGTGGTACTGGTCCCACTGCGCTGTGATGTTGCCCCTTATATTTGCTGAATAAATGAATTTTGATCATTTTTAAAGTGTGCCTTTATGGTGGATTTAAGAGAAAAGTTGACCATGTGGTATTTTGAAATGCCGAATCTTAAGGTGCTGTCCCAGCTCCTCTCTGATGTCCCGCCCCCCTCTGTATACACACACCTTTCAGGCCATCATATTGTCTTCATATTGCACAGCAAGGGGAATATGTTTGAATAATAGATCTAACTGAGCTTAATTAATATTCAGTCACGTTGGTCCTTCCATACTAGAGATTATATTTTACATAGCGTAAGTTTTACTGTATAATTTATCTAGGTAAAGTTCATTTTATTTATTATTTTTTTCAATTACAGTGGACATACAATATTATATTAGTTTCAGCTCTACAACATAGTGATCAGACGTTATTACAAAGTGATCACCCCAGTGAGTCTGGTATCTACATGATACCATACATAGTTATTACAATATCATTGACTATATTCCTCGTGCTGGACTTTACATCCCTGTGAGATGAAGTTCACTTTAGAGTTAGAACAATGTATTAAATAATTTGTGGGTAAATTATGTAGCAGAGCGTAATGTTTTTGTGGCTCTCTTTTTGAAATAGTTTAAACATTGTGTAGCCTTTTTTATTCATTTGTTTTTTACTTGGACCAAAGCAGAGTGGTTGAGCTTTAAAGTAAAGTTTGACTTTCTGTTTTACCTCATTTTCTACAGGTCAGACAGTTCTCTCCTTATTGGCATAAAGCCTTATGAGTAAGTACTGCTGGAGAAGTGTGGAGTGAGAATATTCAGGCTGCTGTTTTAGGGCTTGATTCTATCCTTTGCCCTCCTATTTTGTGAGTATTTGCTAATCTTTCGAAGGAAAATCCTTTTTTAGAAACAAATGGAGGGAATGTAATTTGCAAAGTCCATTAAAGTGGCAGTTTTGGAAAGGATGAAGTTTTTAAGTAGAAAACAGAACCTCCCCAAGTTTTCCGTTCATTTTTGAGCAGGTGAGATTTCATGATCATTGCCTAAATGGTGAACCATTAGGTATTTTTCAGGATCATCCTTCTTAGCCCTGATGAACTTACCTCCCTTGTACCTCAAGTCATAACCTCTCCCCAATTGGTGTTCTTTGCAGAGTCAGCCAGTGGTCTGCTATCCGCCTGTTTCCCCCACTTTCAGGAACCATGTTCTTGACTCCCGTGGGAGGGCAAGCTGTGGTCTGTGGGCTGCCCCTGTCCACGGGGGTCCTGCCTTTTGTATCCTCTGCACTTCCTTTGGCATAGCTCCCCTCGGCTAACTTGTATAAATATTTATTTATTTTTATACATAGATAACTTCTTTGTAAGAGTCTAAAGGACTGTGTTGTGTCCTACACAATTAGGGCTCAAATATTTTTTTCTGATGAAAATAGACTCAGTATACCTGTTGCTTCCTCAGCCTGCAGGAATTGCATACCTTATTCCTTCCTCAAGGGAAGCAAACTATTTCATTGACTGTCTTGTTTATTAACATGACATAAATAGGGTTTAGACAATGTATTTTCAGGGAAATTGGTCTATCTCACAGATCTCAATGGAAAAGTAAATTGTGTACAGAAAGTAAAAAATTTAATAACCTCCACCTTTCCTAGGTTATAAAAGCAGTACACATTCACTGCCAAAAACTTAAAACGCATACTAGTAAAGAGAAAAAAATTATATAATCTTATCAATTTAGTAACTTGGTATTTTTAACATAAAAGCATGTACAAATTGTATGCTTTTTCAAAAAAATTGGGATCCTATGCCATGAAATTTGGCATGTGAGTTTTTTTCCTTACTATTTTATTGTGAGGATTTCTCCACGAGATTAAATAGCCTCAAAAAACGGCAGCATAGTGTTAATGTTAGGTGTACTGTAATTTAACCATTTTCTTATTGTAGACCATTAGGTTATTTGTGATTATTTTGTAAATATAACTGAACATTGTTGAATATAAATATTTGTCCTTGTCTTTATTTCATTAAGACATAAATCTCAAAGTAAGATTTTAAAATTAAGTGTATGCATCATTTTAAGGTTCCTCATACATGTATTGCCAAATTGCTTTTCAGAAAGGTAATTTGCAGTCCCACAGTGTGAGGGAGTCCCCAAATGATTCTGTCTTTCAGTCCGTCAGTGAAATGTTAGGTGTTTATGGATTGGTTTATTTTTTTCTGTTTCAACCTTCTTTTTTGACCATATGTGTGTGTGTTTTTCAGATAGTTTATTGATTTTTAGAGATAGAGAAAGAGAAAGGGGGGGGAGAGAGAGAGAGAGAGAGAAACATCAATGTGAGAATGCCCCATCAATTGGCTGCTTCCTGTATGCCCCCTACTGGGGATAGAGCCCACAACCCAGGCATGTGCCCTTGACTGGGAATCAAACAGGCAACCTCTTTGTTCATGGGACAACTTCCAGCCAACTGAGCCACACCAGCCACGACTGACTATAATAATAAAAGGGTAATTTGCAAATCAACCGAACAGCAGAACGACAGTCCAGATGACCTTCTAGATGACCTTCCGGACGAAGCCAGGGCTGTGAGGGCCGAGCCCCTTGCACGAATTTTGTGCATCGGGCCTCTAGTATCTTAATAACCATCTTTGTCACAGTATCAGTGGGGTGGGGTGGTCTGGGGTCGGGGGGAATGGGTAGGCAGTTAAAATGGGTTCTGACAGTGTTAATAAAAGCTTTGGAAGAGAGGTTTGATTATTGAGTTTTTAAAGTCTCCATAACTTCCAACTTATTTTCCTGGCAGAGAAGTAACTGTGGGTTGACTTTATTTATTTTGGAGTAATTTCTACACACCAGCTTTTGCTGAAGTCATTATTTATTATGTGAGCACTTTATACCTGGGCTTTCACCATACTAATTTTTAAAGTCTCACTTATCCTTTGGTGTAGACATAGTGACATGCTTAGCATTTTTCATCAATTAATGAGAGGCACTGCCTTTTAGGAATTTGAACTTGCTACCTGTGCTACTGGCCCCGGTTTTATGGTGTGGTTGTTAACCCCTTATCTCTACAAACACCGAGTACTACTCTCCATCAGTTAATAGATGTCTGGTTCCTGAATACATTGATTCCTTGACCTGAAGCTATCTTGGACTATAGCTTGTTTTACTTAGAGGAAATAAAGATGACTTAACTCAGTACTTCAAGGGATCGATCCACATTGGCAACCCCATCACTGCCTTGCGGGACTGGGGGCAGGCTTTTCAGCCTGGCTTTCCTGGTCGCCTCAGTGACCCCTGAGTCCATTAAAATTGACTCCTTAGAAGAAAACTTTCAGAACATACCTTAGCAGGCAGTTGCTTTCCATTGGGAAATACTTTCTTAGACATTTGGAGGTACTAGTTTTGCCTGGTAGGACATTTCTCATAGTAAACAATTGACTTTAACATTTTAATTTGTAGTTCCCATCTTAATGCTATCCAGTGACTGCAGACACTACCTGATCACCATATACTAATGATTGTCCAGTCCAGTGGAAACCCCTGGATTCTTCCATAACCTTGGAGCTGCTGCTTCATCTTTGATTTCTAGCTTATACTGACAACTGCCAGGGGGAGGAGTGCTATTCCAGAAATGTGGGCTATTGTGTTTTTGGTTTTTAAAAATAGATGTATTTTTTATTTTTTTACAGAGAGGAAGGGAGAGGGATAGAGAGTTAGAAACATCAATGAGAGAGAAACATTGATCAGCTGCCTCCTGCACACCTCCTACTGGGGATGTGCCTGCAACCAAGGTACATGCCCTTGGCCGGAATCGAACGTGGGACCTTTCAGTCCGCAGGCCAACACTCTATCCACTGAGCCAAACCGGCTAGGGAATGTGGGCTGCTGTTTACTTGGGATGACGAGATCATCAGGATTGTGTTTCTTTTGCTTGACCTGGAGGTTGTTGATGTTTCCTAGGATTTCGTCTTCTGTCTTCCTTTCGGCCTGTGCCATTTCTGTTCGAGCCATCTTTGAAAGTTCGGCGCCAAGGTCAGGGGGCTAATACTCACTGAGGGAATGCTAGTTCCTCCACTCAAGTTGGCTCTTCTATAAACATACAGTTTTGTCTGATATTTCCCCTGAGTAAGAATTACAGTTTTCAGTTTTTATATTTGAGGAAGATATCAGATAATTTCCACGTGTAAGAAGCTTAAGTCCAATTTTAGTGTGGCTTTTCAAAAACTCTTGTAGTTGTTTGTATTAGAGGGCACTTTTTTTGTAGTTGTTAATCCTCAGTGGAGGATATTTTTTCATTGATGTTTAGAGAGAGTAGAAGGGAGGGTCAGAGACAGAGAAACATCGATGTGAGAGAGAGACATTGATTGGTTGCTTCCTGTATGCGCCCTGACCTGGGCTGGGGATCAAGCCTGCAACCAAGGTACATGCCCTTGACCAGAATCGAACTTGTGACCTTCAGTCTGCAGGCTCACGCTCTAATCACTAAGCCAAATCGGCTAGGTTGAGGGCACATATTTTTTTAAAAAGCATGTCATTTGTTTGGGAGGTTTTTGTACATTTGAATATTGGCAGTCTGATTTTGTGGGGAAATTTGTACTATCCCAAACAAAACAGAGAGAGGTTATAAAAGTGGCCTAGTTTTTGCACATGGCCTTTTTGTTCAACGCCTCTCCTGTCTCGTGCCATGGCTTGGTTCCGAGTTACCCAGGCAGAGCCACCTCGGTTCACTGGGCCATTCTGCCCTCACCTCTCCCGGGGGAGGAGTGAGTGGCAGACATTGTTTGATATACAGACCACGCTGCAGTGGTGGTGATGTCAGTGACAAGCTAAAAGAGAATTTTGACAAGAATAACAGGGTGACTTCCAAAATGACAGGAGGTTTAACAGAGGCTGGTTCTACAACTGTTTTCAGCAGCTTGCAAAATGTGTATGGGGCCACCCACACTTCCTTCCTCTTCTCCAGCCACGCCCGCCCGCACACAGCTTGCTTCTCTCCTCAGTGGGCGAACATCAGCATATTCTTGCAACACACACTAGTACTTCTCCCGCAGATCCTGTGAACACTTGACTACTTGGGCTGTCTCATTTAGGTCCAGCCTGGTTTCATGCATGTGTGAGCATTTGCCAAATTAGAAGACTGCTTTAGAACGGCCCAACTTAGTGGTTTTCTTACTTTAAAAGATGCCATCTTAGCTATGTAACATTATAAATATTGATTTAGAATAACTTGGTGCATGGGAAAATGTTCATCATATAGAAGAAAATCCAACTCTTTGTATACGGCATCTTAGTGTTGTAAAGAAGCATAGGTTTAAAGGATATGTACTCAAATCCAAAGGGAGGTCATTCTAAGTGAGGTTATGGGTGGAGTTTCTACCGCTGTTGTGCTTTTCTGCATTTTCCAAATTGTCTAAAGTGAACTTGTATTATTTTGTGAGGAGAAATACCTAAAAATGGATACAGCTCCCCCTCTGGGTCCCTGTGCTCACGCTTGAGGGTATTCCATTTTATTTAAAAAACTAGAGGCCCGTTGCACGAAGATTCACGCAATAGGCCTTCCTTCCCCTGGCTGCCAGGACTGGGACCCAGGCCTTTGGTCCGGCCGCAGCAGCGAGGCTTGGCTTCTCAAGCAGAGAAGCCAGGCCTCTTCAGTCTTCAGTCGTCCTCAGTCTTCAGTAGTCTTCAGTCTTCACTCGTGCCTGCATATGCAAATTAACCACCATCTTTGTTGGGTTAATTTGCATACTCATCCTGATTGGCTGGTGGACGTAGTGGAGTGACACCCAATTTGTATGTTTCTCTTTTATTAGTGTAGATTTTGTCTGAACGTATATTAGACATAGAAAATAATTTGGAAGGCTGTTTACCAAAACATTAACAGATTATATGCTGAGATATTTCTTCCATACATGAAACAAAATTACTAAAAGGAAAATGATAGGGCAGGAGAAAAAGCAGGAAACAGCTTATAAAGTTATGAACAGTATGGTCACACCTTTGTAAAACAAAAAAAAGAAGTTGCGTATGAATCTTTGCAGAAAGACCTCCAAGATATTAATAGTGCTGGTCTTCAGTGGTAGGACTGTGGATACCTCTTTATTTCCTGATTTCTAGTCTATATTTTTTGAGACTTTTCTGTAAGAATGTTTTACTTTGATGGGAAAAAATGTAAAGAAATAGTCCTTTTTTGAAGGATAGATTTGATAGAAAGTCATCTTAGTATCAATTTAAAAGCAAGTACTTAGATTCTGTGTGATGTTTTATTGAAAAATCATCAGACTTTGATGCTCAACTAGAGACATTATTTCCTTTATCAATCTTACAGCACCCATTTTCAATTTCATACATGTTAGGAAAATGAACAGCAGGATTTTTATGAAAGCCACAGAGATAATAGCTCAGTAAATTCATTCTCTTGAAGTAGAGGGGTGCGCTGGGCCAGCTCAGCCAAGGGTTCAGTGAGCCTGAAGGGGGGGGGGGGGGGGGCGGCGAAGGATGTAGAAAAGACAGGCAAAGATAATAAGCTGGGTCTAGGTCAGCTGTGGGCAAACTATGGCCCGCGGGCTGGATCCGGCCCGTTTGAAATGAATAAAACTAAAAAAAAAAAAAGACCGTACCCTTTTATGTAATGATGTTTACTTTGAATTTATATTAGTTCACACAAACACTCCATCCATGCTTTTGTTCCGGCCCTCCGGTCCAGTTTAAGAACCCATTGTGGCCCTCGAGTCAAAAGGTTTGCCCACCTCTGGTCTAGGTGGATCTCCTGTGCCTGGCTAAGGCCACAGAGAAGACCCAGACAGCAAGCTGAGCCTTTATTTTATAGTCAGAGGTAAACAAGGTAGTGGTCGCCATAGTTACAGTGTTCTTGTGAGTTTCACTTGTTTTGGCAGCACTTGCTGCATCTCCCTGAGCCCATTAGCTACCCAGATAAGATCTGGGGAGGTCATAAGGTCAAGCCTAATTATTTGAAGAGGGCTGTGCCCTCTAAGCTGAGATGCCGGAAGCCGGTCCATCCTTGCTGCTTGACACAGTCGCTGCAGGGAAGAAACATCTGCACAGCATATGTTTCAAGGGACCTGGCATATATGGCATACTGTTCTTGATATGTTTGCTCTCCTTAGTGCCATGTGTTTTAACCAAGGTCACCTCTCCCAGAAAGGTTGTTTCCCCAGGTGGGGATGTAGAGTAGTGACCTTGGAATGGAGATAACAAACGCCCTAACCTTTAGAATAGAATGGATAGGATTAAAATCAAATGGTATAAATACAGATGTAGCAGGAGAATAAAAATAGAACCTAGCTGGAGTACCTAGGGAGAGAACCTAAAGACAGAACCTGGCTAGGCTGCTGATCAACTGAATGCTGTCTCAGTGTCATTTCTTCTTCGCCGACTCCATCCACACCTTTGGGAACCCCTGGACCTGCTGGGGTTGGACCCCAACTCTGGGACTTGTTTGTGGCTTTGCCAACAGGTCAGTCCGAGGCTTAACCCTATAGCCGCTCCCTACAGAGGGGAAGACTGAAAGAGTGTCTAATCGGGTGAGGGGGAATGCAATCATCAGAACAGCAATGGTGGTGGAGGTAGCTAGTGCTTCATGCATGCTTTCTCTACACTAGCCTTTATACTAAACACTTTACCCACATTAATTCAGTTAATCCTCACCACAACCCATGAGGTTCTGTTTTTACACTGTAGTTTCTAATGAGGAAACTCATCACTCATAGAGATCAGAGTTTGCTGAGGTCCCGTGGCTAGTGATTGGTGAGCTGGGATTCCAGTCCAGGCATTGGCCTTCAGAACCAGTGCCACCCACACTACCTTGCCATAGAGACTGTGGATGAAAAAGAGAAGCAGGCACAGGTGATGGGAGGAGCTACTGTATCCCACTTGGAGCTGAAGGACCGGGTGCATCCCAGGGATCACCTGGCATTAGATGCAGGCCTGTGCCCTTGACTTTGCTGGCCCTGTTTTGTGCTATAGAACTGTCTCCTCTCTCCATGCCCTCATTCCCAGTAACACACTTGTTTTCACACCCACCTTTCCTGCCTACTTTCCCCCAAGCTCATGTGAGCTTGAATTAATGGTATGGACACTAACCCGTAGTGTATTGCATAAATTGCCTTTGGCCTAGTATTATGACTGTCTAGGCCTCTCAGTTATTTGTGTGATATTTAGTGTCCTGGAAAGGCCTGCAAGGCTTCCTCTAGTCAATCCTCCCTCACTGTGCCATGAATGTCGATGTCAGTGAGCTGCTCACATTCTCTGTGTCCATAGTGATAGTTTCTTCTCTACTATCAAGTAGAAAGCCTCTAGTGCAAAGGTGTTTGGTGTGTTCCCTGGGGGGGAGGGGGGCATTGCCTCCTGAGCTACTGGAGTGAGTGTTTCCTGAGCCTGGAGCGGCTTCTGCAGGCAGGTTGGGCTTGGGAGCCAGGCTGAGTGGGTTGGAGCCCTGGACTGCTGCCTAGTGGGCACCTTGAGCCTCACCGTGCCTACCCTGCAGGCTCTCGGTGAGGAGTCTGTGACGTACGGATTTGGTGCCTGCTGTCAGGAGGCATTTAGAAAATGGCCAGTTTAGTGTTGTTCAGTATCATCATTTCTTCCTCCTTCCAGTGGAATCATCTCTCTGAGCTGTCTACCTGGAACGTTCTCTAGGTCTATGTTCACTGTGAGATTCCTGTTGACTACAAAGATTCCTGGAACCGGTTGCAGTTCACAGAGGGGAGAAAGATAACGGGGGACGGGTCACTAAAGACAAATATGCCATTTTTATGTTTGGACCCAGCCTTAGGGTATATAATTTGACTTTAAGCAAATTTAAAACAAACGGAACTAAACTAAAATATTTTTCTGTGTTTTCTTTTAGGAGAAAAAAGCAACTAACAAAACACAGAAATAAGAAGGATTATTCAATATGCAGTTTGCAGGGTATGTCTCGGAGCCAGTACAAAGTCACCTTTGCTTTATGTAACCCACGTCTTCACAGTTGGCATTGATGTTCACAGTGCGAGATCCTCAGAGATCAAAAAAGATTTAGTTGTGTCCTACACTAACTCACAATACACTTGATAGTGAGATTAGACAGTGGACTAATACTTTAAGAGTTGCTCACTAACAAGGATATTTTTCCTCCCAACCTTCAGTTAATTATGATGTCCTGTTTTTAGGAATACAATTGTAGTTTTATAGACACTGAAAAGGGGGTATGTGTACAAAGGAAGTAAATTCTTTGATAGTGAGAGTGAGGAATCATTTCACTACAGGGTAGTCTTTCTTTACAAGAGATCCTATAAGATTCGTTCCCATGAACTTGCTAGTAGATTAAAATTTATTTCATAGTGCCCTTTTGCTGGCACAGTTCTGAGAAATGTCATAGAGTGTTAATTGTGATTACCTCTGGGTACCCCAGAAAAGACTTTTTTCCTTATCTCTCTATTTACTACTTTTATAATAAAAATTTTAAATTAATTAAATTAAAATTTAAACAAACAGATTTATTTATAAAATGTGATTTATATAGCCACTTTCCAGGAAGTGCATCTAAACTGAAGTGATAGATGAAAAAAATATGTATTATATAACTTGGGGGCATCCTGAAGAAGTTTGTTTTGAAAACTGAAGTTGTATTTGCAATAGTAACATTGACTTGGGTAGAATTTTAAGAATAATTACTGCCCTTATAATTAATTGAAGTTAAAGATTTAAAGATACTTTTATGTCCCCTGGAGTTAGCTTAGCGTTCTATTTTTGAAAATTAAATATGCTTAAATTAAACTTTTTGGGGGGGAACTACTGTCCAAATAAAGTAAGATCTTACCATTTAGATTTTCCTGTTAATCTTATTAAAATTAACTCAGATACCAAGGATAACACACAGTATAGAAAAAATTTGCTTCCCCCCCAACACTTATACATACTACTGGTTTCTTATTTAAACAATCTTAGTAGAAACAATTAATAATTTAGTTTCTAAAATTAATTTGCAGAAACAGTGTAGCATAATGGTTCAGAGCACAGGTTTTAGTGTCAGACGCCTCACCTCTTGTGCCCGCTGGCCTGTAGCTTAGGCCAAGTTACTACTCTGTGCCTCAAAACGGGGCCACAAGTCCTTATCTCTGAGAGCAATTGTAAGGATTGAATGAGGATGACGAAAAACATTTCGCATGTTTTGACTTATTTTGTTTATTTAAATATGTATGGGGGGGGTAGTGACTCATATCATTTTCATTTGCATGGGAGATTGACTTTATGCCTCTTATAGTTGACATTTTAACTCTTAAGATAGTGTCTTAAATGTAACATTGTTTAGAGTAGTCAAATGTTTATAAAGGGTGTGGGCTTTGAAATGAAAATTCAGTTTCCATTTACTTACTTCAGGCTTCTCTTAAAAATTTTCTTTAATGAAATTATAAAAGGAAATGTTATAGAAACTTAATTTTGTTTCTTCTCTTATTTTGTAGATGCCCATGGCAACATTGAAAATGAATTCCTTATTTTCACCAGATATTCTTATATGAGAAGACACGTTTCAAACAGTTTGAATCGTTTTTCTTCTGTTGGACCAGCATGGCAGGATTCAAGCGAGGATACGATGGGAAGATTGCTGGATTGTATGATCTGGATAAAACCTTGGGCCGAGGTCACTTTGCAGTGGTTAAGCTTGCCAGGCATGTCTTTACAGGTGAAAAGGTGGCAGTAAAAATTATTGATAAGATAAAGTTGGACACACTAGCCACTGGTCACCTTTTCCAAGAAGTGAGGTGCATGAAACTAGTGCAGCATCCCAACATCGTGCGTCTCTATGAAGTGACTGACACCCAGACCAAACTGTATCTCATTCTGGAACTTGGGGATGGAGGAGATATGTTCGATTACATAATGAAACACGAGGAGGGACTTAATGAAGACTTGGCCAAGAAGTACTTTGCTCAGATAGTTCATGCTATATCTTATTGCCATAAACTCCACGTGGTTCACAGGGACTTGAAACCTGAGAATGTGGTCTTCTTTGAAAAACAAGGTCTTGTGAAGCTGACGGACTTTGGTTTCAGCAACAAATTTCAGCCGGGGAAGAAGCTCACTACCAGCTGTGGGACTCTCGCATATTCTGCGCCAGAAATTCTGCTTGGGGATGAGTATGATGCACCTGCAGTAGGTAGGTCACCTGCCAATACCTGCTCACTTGAATTCTAGTGGCTAGAGTGCAGTGGGTCAGGTCAGTTGTTTTGTGTGTGTTTGTTGTTTTTTAAATCTAAAAATAATTTCTAAGATAATTTCTATTAAATGCATCTTAATGAACAGATTGTTTTATGAATGCCATATAGCCCTAAAGTTGGCCATTATTTTACCTTTTAAGTGGCAAATGTTTATAAGGTATTTTTGTCAGAACAAAGGAAAACAAGGAAGTTATCATTTAAGGTAATCTCTTATTAGCCTATGGTTTGTATAATTGAGTTTTGGGAAACCTTGACATATTCAAGCCGAGAATGGTGTTAGACTAGAAGCCACGTTTAATGCACTAAGGTAGTTACTCCTCACTCTGCTCTAGTCCTCGGATAAAATACCTCACACACCCTCCTTAAGTGTCTTCTAGAGCAGCGGTCGCCAACCAACCGGTGGTCCGTGAGGTCCGAAAGGTTGGCGGCCGCTGTTCTAGAGGATCTAGAAAATGGGTGGCCCCAGAAGACCTGATTGCAGCATTACATGTAGAATCTGTTCAGATATTTAAATGTTTTCCCTGAGAATTTTGTAAAGGATTACTCCTTCCCATACAGATAGAACAACCTGAGCCACAATACCTTTGGGATAGAACTTTGACGTAGGCCTGAAGGATTGGAAATTTCCTCTTTGGTTTATGTAAATCTGCTGAAATAACTTATGTCATGGATTGGTAACTCCTTGCTTCTATTTCAGATTTATTCCAGGAAAGCCGTGCATGTCCTTGCTTTCCCAATGCTTCCCAAGCTGCACCAAGTCTGTGTGGAGTTTCATTTCCCACCTCAGTAGCCGCCCACTAGAGGCAGATGTCCTAGCAATGGCCCAGTGTTTCCTGACCTGGTTAAAGTTTATATTAGTTACTCTTCCACTGCTGCCCTGGACACATGGGCCTGATGGGTTCCGATTGGGAGACCTTAGGCGGTGGCCCAGTTTTAGTTCCGAGATTGGGATCATATGTTTTGAGGGAAGATTTATGCCTCTCCTCCGCATAGGAGTTGGTCTGTTAAATTTAACATAGTCCCTTGTTTGTTTCATTTTAAAGTAAACGTAAAGCTTGCATTGTCCCTGCCCAGCAGAAGCTGTATGGCCACCTGGGTCCCACACAGTCACACACGTGGTATTCAGTTGTCAAGAACTGGGAATGAAAGTCGCTACGCTAGCATCGGTTATGAAAAGCATGTCCATACAAACGTGCCACACACGCTCCAAACCCAGCCACCAAGTGCAGCGTCACTTACTCTGAAAGATGCCTTTTACAAAGTATAACATCATCGTGAGTCATATAAAGCCACGAGCATAAACAAAAATCCTCTCCTAAGCTTTCTGAAGTTGCACATGCCTGTGAGAAGTGACATTCATTTCTGAAATCAGAGTTCATTGATCTGGCACGAACTCTCTGTAAATAAAAGCGCTATATTTATTCAGTGTTAGTTCTGCATTCACAATGTGCGGGCTTGTAATGTGAATGTTGTATGATTGTATTTGGGAAGCAGGTAGGCAAGCTTCTGTGCCCTGGGTTTTATAATTAAGCTACTGTTGAATTTAGTGTGAGTAATAAAGATTCTTGAGCATGAAATGTTATGGGTGGAGTAATCTACAGGTACCATAAAGATGGTTATTTCAGGCTAACTCAATCATTGATTCTTCAGTGATTGGCCTGGAAAAGGTGGTAGAAATAGTTTATGCGGTTTGTTTTTTGTTTTTTAAGTATATTTTATTGATTTTTTACAGAGAGGAAGGGAGAGGGATAGAGAGTTAGAAACATCAATAAGAGAGAAACATCGATCAGCTGCCTCCTGCACAGCCCCCATTGGGGATGTGCCTGCAACCGAGGTACATGCCCTTGACCAGAATCGAACCTGGAACCTTTCAGTCCGCAGGCCGACGTTCTATCCACTGAGCCAAACCGGTCAGGGCGGTTTATGAGTTTTGATGTTTTCCCTACTGCATGTTTAGTTCTGCTGCTTATTGCTCTCCCTGTTACAAGCCCAGGTCAAATGAAATAGAGGTGGATGCCCCTTTGAAAAGTATAATTTACTGTACTAGTGGTGTGGTAAGTTCTCAGCTCACCACCCGTCGATTTCACTAGGGGAGATGAAAACAAAACACCCCACCTTGCCTGGGCCCCACCCCTGAAGATTCTGATTCCGATCATCTTGGTGTGGCCACACCTAGGAGCTTCCCTGGCTTCCAGCGTGCATCCAGCCCTACCTACCGTTGACTTGAACCCTAGATTCCCCTATTTTTAGTTACTAGTGGAAAAATAGTCCAGTATTTTAATTCTACTGTTCTTTAAAGAATAAGTGTTAGGGACGGAAATTTAACATCTAGCTTCAAAAAGTGCACAAGAATGTGTAGTTGTTTTTTCATGCCGAAAGAAGGCTGTGCTCATCAGCTCCTTTTCATCTGCCCTTTCATTCAGTCTGTTCACGTCACCCCTCTGTTCAGAACACTTTCAAGACCTCCCATTTCATTCGCAACCAAAACGAGAGGCGCCCCCCACCCCCACCCCCTGCTCAGTGCCCAGCATGGCCCTCAGAGCTGGCTTCCCGGCTCTTCCCTGACTAATCCCTCCCACTGTCTCCCAGCTGCCTGCTTAGCTCCAGCCACTCCGCCTCCTTGCTGTTAGCCACAATCCACACTCACGCCTGCCTCAGTTCCCTCCACCTCCCCTCCCCTGGCCTAGGGCACTCTTGGCCCCCATACCACTTCCTGGCGGCCTCACCATCTGCTCTGTAGGTGGAGGGCCCCACCACTGCCTTTCTCCTGCCTCACCTGACTCATTCCTCTGGTCTTTTGCTTCCCCTGGTAAAATCAGGGTAACAGTAGTGCCCGTCTTAGGGTTGTTATGGGTTAGATGAATGCGTAGTGCACATGAAGTACGAGCTAATGGCAGAGGCAAGCGCAGCCTCAGTGGTCAGCGGTGCTGATCAGCACCTCCCCTTGGAGGGATCGCAGAATGACACGTTTCCTTGGAGCTGTGGCTGCAGTCCCAGAGCGTGTGCAAGGATCGCGGCCTTCCTCCTTCCTTCCGAGGTGCTTTCTTCTCCTTGGGAATCGGTCCTCGGGAGAATTTCTGAAGTGTTGGCTGCCGTGGGAAACTGGGAGGCAGGGCAGGCCCGAGACCTTTGCTCCTGTGTTTTTCTGCCCCACGGTTTTAGTTGTATTTAACTTTCCGAATGTCAGGTTATTTGTATTTAGGGAGTAGGTTAGCTTCTAACGTAGGCACTTTTCTGAGTGTGTGTTAAATGTTAGATAAAATAAAACAAAAGTCTTGGTATTTATTTGATAACTGGTTAGTTTCTTGGAACTTCAGAAGAGCTTTTCAAATCGCCCAAATAGTCACTGTTTTAATACAGGAATCCACGTGGAAACTGAAGCCACATGCTTTCACCTCAGAATGTAGCACAGGAGAAGGAACCCTTAGCCAGGTGAAAACATCGAATCGACTTGGGTATTTTTTAAAGTTTTTCTTTTTTGTTTCTGAGGGTGTGGGGGGTGGGGGAGAAGAAACATAAACCTGTTGAAGAAAGTCTAGTTTATAGAACAGAAAATCAGTAGTTAGAACAAACTTTAACGCAATACATTTGGAATCCTGTTAGAATACACATCGCACCCTAGCCGGTTTGGCTCAGTGGGTAGAGCGTTGGCCTGTGGACTGAAGGGTCGAGGGTTCGATTCCCATCATGTGCACAGACTTCAGTTGCAGGCTTGATCCCTGATCCTGGTTGGGGATCATGTGGGAGACAACCAATTGATGTGTCTTTCCCACATTGATGTTCTCTCTCTTCCCCTCCTCCCTCCCTCCCACTCTCTCTAAAAATCAATGGGAAGATATCCTTGGGTGAGGATTAACAACAACAAAGAATACACATCGCTGCGCAGACTCAACTCCAAGTGGCCAGGTGGCGTTATTGTCATGTTTTTAAGAATTGCTGCAGAACACCTGTGTGCTTTCATGGGGGTCTGTGCTTCCTCACTCTGTGCTCGCTCCGGGTGGCCCTGGTGGGACCAGGTAGTGACAGTTTCTAGGGAAACCCTGTCTGCTCATGTCAGGAAGTGGCTTCTTGAGAAACAATAACATTATCATGAAGAGTCACTCCTTGGGTTTAGTTCTTTCAAGGGCTGGGGCTCCTGTCAGTCAGCTCCTCACAGGTTAAGGATGACTTCGGTGAAGAGCAGAAGTAGAACAGGTGCCACAGAGCTGAGCCCGCTCAGCAGAGATGCACCAGTGCTCATTACAGCTGGGACTCCCAGGCGTGTCCGTCACTGTTTTTACCTCTCTGATCGCCACCGTTCTATGGAACCCATTTTCTATGTCACTCACTTTGTCTAACCTAATATATCTTGATTTATTAGCCTTATAGTGATGTGATGTACAGTCCAAAACAGTGCCTAATTTAATAGTTTACAGTTTTAATTTAAATTTAAGAGTTATTTAAACTTGGAGCCTCAGGAGGACCTCAGGATGTAGGTGGTGTCTGCTAAGAAGGAAAACAAGAGCGTGGAGCAAGACTCTTTATAGAAGCGCGGAACCCTGGTGCATGGGACGCGCCAGGCACAGGGTGGGCACACTGGTTGGATAAAAAGAATAGAGGGGTTGCGGATGGCTAAAAAAAGAGGGTGATGAAATGCAGAGGGCACATGCCCCGATTGCATCTTCCCTTTGGAATTGGATGGGGGGATGCCAAGTCTTGCACACTCCAGATGGCTCCCTGTCCCTCTTGCTCAATAGTAGGGTCCTTGAGAGAGGGAACTGTGTGTTTATATCTTATCTGTGCCCCATCCTCATCACCTGGTAAACAGGACAAGCTCTCAATGTTTGTTTAACTGAATCAATATTACAGGGATGAACTAAAGAAATGAAAATGGTGCTCGCTTCGGCAGCACATATACTAAAAATTGGAACGATACAGAGAAGATTAGTATGGCCCCTGC